TCTCTCCCCCTCCAGGCTGGAATCTCCCTGCCTACCTCTCAGTCCTCATCGCCCTGGGGAACGTAGGCCCCATCGCCGTCACCCTGGCTCACAGGCTAGTCCCTGGGCGGCTGAAGGAGCGCTGGGTCATCCACGCCATCCAGGTGCTGGGCGTGGTGGCAGCCCTCTTCCTGGCTCTCTTCTGGCACCGGACGGCGACAGTGGCAGGGGAGTCCCACAGCCTGGCCTTCCTGCTCCTGGCCTTCCTCCTAGCCTTCGTCTGCTGCACCTCCAACGTCACCTTCCTGCCCTTCATGTACCAGTTCCCCCAGCAGTTCATCCGCACCTTCTTCGTGGGCCAGGGCCTGAGCGCCCTCTTCCCCTGCGTGGTGGCGCTGGCCCAAGGGGTGGGCAAGCTGGAGTGCCGCAACACCACCTCTGGCAACGGCTCCCAGCCCCACTACCTGGAGGAGAACTTTCCCGCGGCCACCTACTTCTGGCTGATGTTCGCCATGCTTGCTGTCTCGGCACTCTCCTTCCTGGGGCTCATCCTGCAGCACCGCCGCGCCAGCCGCTCCGCCGCCCGCCAGGAGAGCTCTTCCAAGGGCAGCGTGGAGACGGAGGAGTCCTTCCCACTGCGGGAAGACACCCCCACGTCGGACAGCGCCACGGAGATCGCCCAGGGCACCCACCCCCCGGCCCAGGCCACCTCCTTCTGGACAGGCCGGAACATCTACCTGCTGGTGCTGCTGGGCGTCTCCAACGCGCTGACCAACGGCGTGCTGCCCGCGGTGCAGAGCTACTCCTGCCTGCCCTACGGGAGCATGGCCTACCACCTCTCCGTGGTGCTCAGCAACATCGCCAACCCCGTGGCCTGCTTCGTCGCCATGTTTGTGCTGTGCAGGTAGGGCCGGGCGCATGGCCCAGCCTCCTCCCTTACACCCTCTTCACCCTTGGCCCAGACCCCCTGCCTGAGAGGGGCCGTGGGCGGGGCAGGATTGAGGGGCATTGGCGCAGCTGGGGGGGCCCTGGACTGGGCCAGCAAGGGGAGCCGCGGGTCACAGGGGCATGGTGGCCCTGTGGTCGGAGTTGGGTGCCCGGCACGTACCTGAGTCATTCCCAGTGATGTCCCTAGTGAGCAGCCGAGCCGGGTCCAGGGCTTTGCACGTTAAACGTTTGTAAAACTGAGACCACGTCCCCACCTCCCGCTCCGAGCCTGCCAGGTGCCTCTGGGCTTACCAGGCTCCCCCCGCCGTCCAGCCGCCAGATGGGGAGGGGGCGAGCTCAGACTGATCGGGCAGGGGCCTGTGGGAGTCGGGGGATATTCATGGAAAGTGGGGGCTGAGAGGAAGGCTGGCCCAGCGGCTAGGCCCTGGGACTTGGGAGAGCTGAGTTCAGTTCCCTGCTCCGCAACAAACAAAATGGGTGACCTTGGGCACGTTCCTTAATCTCTCTGTCTCTCCATTCCCCACTTTGCGCCTCCCCCGGGTGCTGTGAGGATAAACGCTGGGAAGGTTTGAGGTGATCAGATACTACAGGGATGGGCACATATCAATGCTACCTGTTGACTCTGGGGGGCGGGGACAGAGCCCCTATTGCACAACTCTGCCCCTTCCTTTCAGCCCCACTTTCCCCTGCATTGGTCCAACACCCCCTTGCCGCTCAGACCCCTCTACCCCTGCCCCCCCTCCCCCCACGCCCCCGCTGCTCCGAGCCCCCCTCCCCACACGCCCCCGCTGCTCCGAGGCCCCTCTCCCCACACGTTTCCACTGAGCTCTCCCTCCCTATATGTCCACAGCTCTAAATCTGGCCTAGCCTATGGGGAAGAGGCTCTTCACAGAGCAGGCTTAGAGAGGTGTGATGTGGCCCATTCATCTCAATGAGGTGTTCTCAGCTGAAAGAGGAGGTCCCATGGAGATGATACAGCCTCATCCATCAGCTTGGGGAGGTGTGAATTGCTCCAGCTGGGCAAGTGTTCTCACACACACACACACACACACACCCATGTCAGGTACACCTACACCTAAAGCGCTACAGTTGTGCCGCTGCCCCACTTCAGTGTAGACGCTCACGACAGCGATGGGAACGGACTGAGCTCAATCCCTCCCCTACAGAGCTCTGCTTTGAGCCCCAGATGTGCACAAAATAACTTAACACCCCCCCCAAACCCAGCATGTTACTAAATCAACAGGGGCCTTATCGTGGGAGCCCCTTTCTCAAATCACCCCAAATCTTGCTCATGAGCTCTCCCTGGCACCCCACAGAGCACAGCACTTAGTGCCCCCAGGAAGTGCTGCCCAATCTAACGCGTACAGAGCGGATGCGCCGCTCTGACCCCGGCAGTGCCCGGTGCTGCTCAGACAGCGGGGCAGTGCTCCTATCCCCTGCCCCCACTTGCCCCATCGGCCCCCAGGCCCACGGCTGACCCTCGTTTGCCTTCTCTCTACCCCCAGGTCAGCGGTGGGCTTGGGCGTCATCTCTGTGCTGGGAGGCGTCTTTGCGGCCTATCTGATGGTGCTGGCCGCGCTCAGCCCCTGCCCTCCCCTGCTGGGCAGTGCCGCAGGAGTCGCCCTGGTGGTGAGTAAGGTGGAGTCCGGGCCCCGGTCTCTCTGGGGGCCCCTGCACCTGGCTGCAAAGGAGCCATCACAGCGTCCCCTGCAGGTGGGCTGAGGCTTCGCTCCAGGGGCTGTTCTCTGGGGTACCGTCCAGGCAGCCTCTAAATGACGGGGCTTCCCAGGGCCCTTGGCAAACGTCCCTCCGGTCTCCTCCCGTGGCTCCCGGTTCTGCCCCGCCTGCCCTGGGCTGCTGCTCGGGGTTCAGTCTCCGGGTGTCTGACACAGGGCCGGCTCCAGCTTTTTTGCCGCCCCTAGCGGCGAAGCGAAAGGAAAAAAAAAAAAGATAAAGCCGATCGGTGGCACTTTGGCGGCGGGTCCCTCGCTCCCTCTCTTTCTTTTAAGCAGCACTTCGGCGGCAGCTCAGAGAGGAAGAGAGGGACTGAGGGATGTGCCACCCTTTCCATTGGCCGCCCCAAGCGCCTGCTTCCTTCGCTGGTGCCTGGAGCCGGCCCTGGTCTGATCCGAGGCTCCCAGGGCTGGAGAAGTGTCTGGGAGTCCAGGCCATGCCCGGGATCCCCAGGGGCTGGCGAGTGCCCCCAGGCCAGTTTGCTCCCCGAGGGTTTCTGGCCCACGAGGCGGGGGTGGCTGTGTTGGTCGTGGCCCGTGGGTTCCCGTGGGTCGCTGGGGTCGGCCCCGTGGCTGAGGCCGTGTCTCTCCCCGACAGGTGCTGGCCTGGATCCTGTTCCTGGGGCTCTTCTCCTACCTCAAGGTGGTGATCGGCAGCCTGCTACACGAGGCCGGCCACGCCGCGCTGGTGTGGTGTGGAGCGGTCATCCAGGCGGGCTCCCTGGTGGGCGCCCTGGCCATGTTCCCCATCGTCAGCATCTATCACCTCTTCCAGAGCGGGCAGGACTGCGCCGACAACTGTGGGGCATGAGCGGGGGGCAGGACACAGCAGCCCCATGGGGGGTCTGCCCGGCTGGAGCTGGCACCAGCTGACCTCCGGCTTAGGGGCGTAAGAATTGCTGGAGAGAGTCAGAGCGCTGGGCATCTCGTCCCGCGGCTCCTGGCCAGTAGCTGATGCTTCAGAGGAGAAGCCCGTGGTGCCCCTGGCCAGCTGGGAGCCTCTGCTCTCCCCTGCTGCTCGGAGCAGGGCCGTGGGCCGGTCACACTACCGTACAGACCAGGCGCTAGGCGGCCTGCCCAGCCCTGCTGCATGGGGAGAGCGGGAGCAGCCCTGCCTTGCGGCCTGGTTCCCAGGGGCTGGCAGCTGCTGCACTCGCTGCTTCTCCCGCAGGTTTTAGGATGTACTGAACTGGGGCTGGGGTGGGGGAGGGGGAGGGCCCCCTTTGCTGGCACTGCTGCCAGAGCTGGGGGCCGGCTCCACGGGGTCGTCCCCCCGCAGGGCTCCCACTGCAATGGCCACTGACTGGATGGAGCCGCTGTGCGCCCTTCTCCAGCGCCGTTCCACTCGCTGCGCGGCCTCCCCCAGCTGTCCCAGCCCCCGCCCAGTGCTCTCCGTACACGTTAACCCTGAGCTGCCCCTGTCCTGGGCGTCCCTGCCCCCGCCCCGCCCCCAGCGCTCCGGTCACGGACTGAGCTCGCCAAGCACGGCACACCTGGCACCTGGGCAGGCACTGAGCCTGGGGATCTGGCGGTTAACCTGCCTGCCTGGGGCTGGGGCTGCCCTGTGCTGTGCTAGCCCCCGGGGAACCCTGCCCCCTGCTCACTGAAGAGCCAGCACTGAGCAGGGGGATCCCGGGGAGCCCAAGGAGGGGCTGGTCTCTGATCCCAGCCAGTGCAGCCTGCTCCCCCCAGAGCTGGGGTCTGTGCCCCACCTTCAGGAGGGTGTTCCCCGGCCACCTCCTGGGGGGGGGGGGGTCCCTGATGCCCAGCCGGCCCCATGTTTCACTCCCAGCAGCCTCTCAGCCCAGGGCGTTTATCTTGGCAGGACAAGGGGCAAACAGCTGCCTGGCCCTCTGCGGGTCTGCATGGCTCCTGCCCCCCAAAAACAGGGGGGGCTGGGGGGGGCCAGGCTGGGGGGATGGGGGGACGGGGGTTCCTCTCTGCATGGGGGTGGAGGGGCACTCTGCTCCCTGAGCAGCCTGGGACCAAAGCCAGCAGGGAGCCCCCAGCCTTGGGGGGTGTCCTAAGCCAGGCCCATAGTCGCAGGTCTGGTGCAGGGTGGCACGTATAGCCTGGCTACTGGCCGTGTCACCTCCGCGGGCCCTGTTGCCTGCCCGGTGGCTCATGCTGCTGCGTCTCACTGGCTCCTGCCGGGCTCCACGTGGCTTGGTGGGCGGGCGGGCGGCGATCTGTCTCCGCAGCAGTAGAAAGATGGGGATTTTGTGTAGACGCTGACTCTCCTCCCCCATGGGCCAAGGAGGGGTGCAGCAGGAATAAATCTTCTTATCCCAATCACTGGGGCTCGGCGCTGGTGTCCCTGGGCTGGGGGGGCCTGGGGCCGACGCGTCCCCCTGGGAGGGACGGAGCCAGCTGCGGGGCTGCACGGATAGCGAGTCACGGCGCCATTCTGGGAACGGGCAACGGGATGGATCAGCTGGTGATTCCCTGTTCTGTTCGTTCCCCCCAGGGCAGCTGGCTCTGGCCCCTGTCGGCAGACAGGACACTGGGCTAGATGGACCTTTGCTCTGACCCAGTCTGGCCGTTCTCATGCGGCTACTGGGGCGTAAACCTGCCCTGGACAGCCCTGTGTGCGCCAGCCCCTGGCGAGGTGGCTCCCAGCCAGAGGGCTCCTGGCCCAGGGAGGGCTGCAGTTGTGTGTGGGCCCCGTGCAGGCAGGGGGGTGCAGTGGCCCATGCAGGTCCGAGTGCTCCCTGGTTAGTGATGCCCAGGGGCAGCGCCGTGGCCCGGCTCTGGGCTTGGGTGGGTCTGGCTGCTGAGTGTCAGGAGCTGTCCGTGCAGAACAGGGCTCCCTTTGTCCGTGCAATGGATGGAGCTGCAGGCAGCAGCCGTGCCGCACCACGAGGGCGTGTGGGCCTGTGGCCGGCTCCTGGAACACTCCGCGGCCTTCAGATTGCTACAGCCTCTGGCCAAACCGCAGCTGCTCTCCACAAGCCCGCGTGATCTCGGGAGCACACGGAGCCCTGCCGGGCCTGGAGCCAGGCAGCAGGGGCACAGGGAGGACACGTGGCGGGGGCTGCGTGTCCTGGAGAGCTAGCGCTGGGGTGCAGTGCCGTAGAGAGGAGGTGTCACAGACTCACAGATCGTGCCCACTCTTGGCCCCGTGTGGTCCGTGGGGGGAGCCCCCTTCAGTGCGACAGCCCTTCTCGGGGGTCCACTCTCTCTCGGGGTCAGGCCCCTCCACCCCCTGGAGCCGCACCTCTCTGAGCCTTAGCTCGTCTGTCTCTGCCATGGGCCCCCTCAGGGAGTCCACTCGCTCTGGACCCCCGGGGCCTCCACCCCCGAAGGGGTTGATGCAACCCTGTTCTCTAGCCCGGAGTGACTCTCAGCCAGCATGAAACAGGAGGATTTATTGAGAGTTGAACACAGCCCAGGAAACTCTCCGGGCCTCAGGCCTGGCCTCCCTCAGCCCAGCACATCCCAGTCTCCCTGCATCCAGGTGGGCTCTGCCTGAACCCCCTGTCCAGCCCCGAGCCCCCCTGCTTCCCAGCTGGGCATCTGAGCTCCCCGGCCCCAAGCCCCCTCTGTCCATTGTCTTCTCTCCAGGTAAACAGGGCCGTAAACTGGGGCCTCCTCTCCTCGCTTCTGTCCTCTGGCTGGAACCGGCTGGTCAGGTCACTGGGTCCTCACTCTGCAGCCCATTGTCCGCCCACTGGCCAGAACCGGCTGCATCTCCTCAGCTGGGCCTCCGGGTCACCATCCTCCCTGGGGTATCCATCCTCCCGGCCATTGGCTGGGGTCCCACGTTCCCTCTCCGATCCTCTGTAACAACAAACTCCCTCTCCCCTTCCCTCGTTAAACCAGTAACACCCAGGGAAACTGAGTCCCACCCCCTCCGCATGCAAACCATTGAAAACTCCACAGAAAACAAGAAACCCCCCCACTTCGTCACAGGAGCTCCTGGCGATGCTGGCTGGTGGCGGGGAGCTGGGCTGGCTCCAGAGGGAAGGGAGGCTGCAGGACAGCGGCGAGGGGTGTCTGTGCCGGGAGGAGGCAGGCAGCTCCGCCTTGGTCCCCACCTGCTGCACGGGGAAGGATGCCTGGAAGGGTTGATTGTCGGGCAGCTCAGGAAGTGACTAGCCCTGCCCTGGGGTCTGCACTGTACTCTGCACGGCATAGGGCAGGGCTGGGCCGGGCCCAAAGTCCCTTTGTGTGAGCTCCCGGCTGGGCCTGCCCCGTCCCCTTGCCTAGGACTCTGGGTACTATGGGAGCCTGGATGTTCTCCTTGGAGGCCGACCGGGGAGGAATCTGTCTGCTCCCCTCCTCCATGGCTGGGGAGAAGATTGTGCCCCATCTTGCAGACTCAGAGCTGGCCAGGGTGTCCCACACATCTGGGGCTGCTGGGCTTGGTTCCCGCAGCTCATTCCAGCTGGTGAGGGAGCTGCCTCGATGTTCCCCCGGCGCTCAGCGCAGTGCCCCAGGTCCCTGTGGGCGCAGCCCCTGCTGCCCCACGCTGCACTGGTTCCCTGCTGAACATGGGCCAGCTGGAAGCCTTGGCTTGCATCGGGTGGAGAGACCATGACTTCCGGCAGGGCTGCATCCCACCGTGCCAGGGGCCCAGGCTGCTGCGTGCGGGAGATGGAACTTTCCCCACAGCTGGCTCTGGCCTGGGGAACTCACTGCCACAAGAGAAGAGATCCGGGGCCTCTCTGTGCTCAGAGCCACAGGCAGGGTTTAGCTTTGGGCCTTGACTCTTCCTCTGTGGGCTCTTCTCTCAGCCCCAGCCGACAGATCACTGCCCTTTCTCCTCTTGGCTGGGCACAGTTGAAAGAGGTTGGTGGCATCCGGACGCCCTGGTGCTGGGCCTGGAGAAGCACTGCCTGGGTGTGAGTGGTGTGCGCTGGGCTGGGCCCTGGGGCGTAGGTAACGCTCCCATCACTGCCCCTCTCCGTGGGAGCTGGGGGTCAGGGTTAGGCCAGTTTCATAACTGCTGCGCATTGAGACACCTGCCTAGAGCTCCACCTGCTTCCCCCGCCTATAGCGCCTCAGGCTGACGGAGCCTGGCCGGCTCCATCCTCCCACCGCCCTCCCCCATGCAGCTGGCCGTGCTCCCCCACTGCGGTGTGCCCGGCTGGGCTAGCGGCTCCTCTGGCCTGGAGGGGGACGGGGGAGCAATCACCCCCCTCCAGCCGCAGGGCTGACACCCAGCCAGCTCTGGGGTGGAGCAGGGCAGGGCCCAGCACTGGTGTAGAACAGGGCCCAAGGAAGAATCCCACATCCTTGGAAACAACCGGGGGTGTTAAATAAGCCAAACAGGAAAACCTCTGCTGGGATTTGGCTGAGGCCCTGGGAATAACAGCGGATCGCAGGCGCCAGGACCGGCCTGTGGGCAGAGCGCAGTCGGTTCTGCTCGGACTCAGAGGGGAGCGCCCCACCCCTGAGTCGCCAGCAGAGCCAGCCCAAGGGTGCTGGGCCTGTGCAATCGAGCGAGGTGCTCGGGCTGTCTCTGGGGAGAGCGGGGGGGGGGGCAGAACAGAAGCCCTGGCCGTGGAAACGGGCACTGATGGTGCCCATGCTGCGCGGGGCAATGCCAACCCTCCCTTTGAAAAGAGGCTGCCCCGAGCTGGGCTGGCTGCCTGGTACCCCCTGAGACCTGCACGCTCGTGTCACAGCGAGCGTGGTCGAGGCCCTCGGGAGGTGCCAGCCTGGTGCCTGAGGGTGCTGCTCCATGCAGGGAGATCCTGTGTGAAGCTCTCATGTCCTGCAAGTTCAGATGTGCCCCGTCCATGCCAGGGTGGGGGCTAGGGCTGGGTCTCCTGGACACTCTGACCATAATGCCACTATACAAAGCCATGGTGTGCCCAGGCCTTGGGTACGGCACGCAGATCTGGTCGCCCCAGCTCCAAAGAGCTCCGTTAGAATGGGAAAAGGGGCAGAGAAGGGCAATGAAAATGATTTGGGGTCTGGAACGGCTTCCGTATGAGGAGAGATTAATAAGACTGGGACATTTCAGCTGGGAAAAGAGACGGTGAAGGGGGATGTGGTAGAGGTCTATAATGAATAGGGAAGTGTTATTTACTCCTCATAACAAGACCCAGGGATCACCCAGTGAAATTAACAGGCAGCAGTTTTAAAAGAAACCAAAGGAAGGATTTTTTCACCCAACGCACCGTCAACCTGTGGAACTCGCTGCCAGGGGATGTTGTGAAGGCCAAGACTACAGCAGGGCTCAGAAAAGAACTAGGCA